TCCTAGTGCTCAACTAGTCTATTTAATATAGTGTAATATTGATTTTGGACGTTAAAAAGCGCAAGGGACAAAAATTTTCTTTGGAAAAAGTGGCCCCCCTGCACCCCCAAAATTACGCCCATGTCCACACCCAAATGTGACATTATATCCATAAAACTGGCTGGGTTGTAACTGTTTGTGCTTAGGTTAAGGTTGGCAGCCATCCTAAATTGGGCTGACAGATAGGGTTGACTTAAAGAGTAAAAAAAAAACTCACCTGCTCACTCAGCAACCAACAGATGTTCTGAGTGAGATTCAGCTAAACTGCTTTTATGTAATGTTAGCTAGCTGCAGCAGCCACTGGTTCGTCTTGTAAAGGAACATGTTCTCCAACAGTCCTGCTGAAGTGGACGCACCATTTCAGTTCTTTAGCTTGTAGAACAAAAAGGCTAGAACGAATCATTTTGGCTGCAGCTCACTGATGTCAAGCTTGGAGCCATTCCAGTTTTACTAATTAGGCTGTGACATGCATGGCCGCGGGGCGGCGGTTGGCACGAGGCAGCAGGACGGCCCAGCTGCCCCCGTGTCCTCCTTTCTGCCTCCAGGGAGACATTCCGGGTCCGCTTGCTTCCTCTGTGAGCGGCGGCGAACAGAAACCTGGATGGGGAGCTCACACCCCACATGACACCCTGTCACAGGCAATACTTCACAGTTTAAAAGGAACTCTTCATCAGCAATCGCATCATTACAACCTGTCCCAGTTGTCGTGCTCCACTTTCACACTCTGAAAAAACTGCCTGATAAAGAGCATCGTGCACAGATGAGCTGTATGCTAAACACACATTGTGTTGGTTTTTCTTTGCACAAGTGTGGCAGCTGGCATTTCTGTAAAACCAGCAACTGTAGGAATATGGAAAATGTGGTGCTCCACTATAGATAGACACACAACTTAAGGAGTGGAGGGGAGCAGGATGAAGAGGAAAAGAAGAGGAATTGAGCCGAGAGCTGGAGAGTGAGCAGTTTAATGCTGTAATTATGTTCCTGATAACACCCTGAGAGATACGCTTTGGTGCAGCTCCAGAACCCAGGCTCTGAGCAGTCGACATCTACACACACGCAAATCATCTGAACAAATTCAAACTGTCTCTTCCTGTCCTCTTGTCAACTGCAAATCCCAGAAAACGTGTCAGCTTCACCGAAAAGATGCATTGACACGAGGAGACACAGAGGAGGAGCACAGTGACAAGAGAGACGGCTGTGAGAAGCCATCACTCTCACGCAGGCGCGTTGCAAGCTTTTCAAAAGTGTGGGGGATGTTGTCTGTGCCTAAAATAAGTTTATGTTATTCATCTTGTTAGTTTAATTTCCATAATAGCGGAGCAGGTGCGAATTTTAGACGCGTCACGCGTGTCTCCGTTTTAAACATGTTTAAACTGTTCAGAATACAAATCCAGGCTCTGTCTCGTTAGATTGGTGTAACTAAAGTTTGTACTGAATGAAACTTTACATTAAACCGTGTTGAAAAGAAAAGGATCCGATTAAATCATTTCCCCTCATTTACAGTCAGTACAGCGCAGTGCGCGTGGCTCTGGGGTTAATCAGGTTTGATTGTTTCTCTTTGCAACAATCTTCACAAGAAGGCAAAACAGTTAAATGGCAGGTTACAGATATTTCCATTTGACTGTTTATTTTGACGGATAACCTCAAGGATGTTGGTTGTTTTGAAAGAATAACCCCGACGCACACTGATGCACACACAGATGAGCTGACATTTTAATAGTTACGCACATCGTGGAGGTAACTAAATAAATCAAGAAAAGATTCCCATCAGAACATCAGAGCTTGGTACTGGACACTGTGTTCAGCGCAGCTCGGAGCGCCCATGGTGGACAGTGGGCTGAAGATCTGTAGAGGGGTTCGCAGTGCAGAACCACGGCGCATGCGGTAAGATTTCCTCCCACTGAAGCGGTCTGGAAAGCCGGTCTCTCTGAGGGATGTGTCACTTGGAAAAATGTTCTCTGATTATGAAACTTTGGCTGAACAGCGCTTGTTCCTGTCTCTAATATGGACACGCATGACGCATCCAGTCTGAGGCAGAATAGCCTCTTCAGCTCAGAAAGCACCTGTAGAGACATTTGATCACGTACAAAGTTTATGTGGAGCAGAAGCGGTCGGGCCACGGCAGGTGAAATGTTTCTAGCCTACATGAAGTGAAACTGTTTAATTGTAACATTAATATGTTACTGGGCACACTGGGCTGGTTGGTTAGACCAGTGTTTGAAGTGGAAAACACACACACACACACACACACACCAATTAAAATAATGCTGATAGCATGGACTAGAAGACAGGTGATGGGTTACGTATTTAAATGATGATCAGGCTGCTGTAAAATGTAATCTCCATCCACATCCAGACACAATTATCCTCTATTCTTTCTCTATTTGCTCTGCTCTTGTCTGGGCTGACGGTGCACGCGGCACGCCTAGCAGCTGTGATGCACATTTTACACATTTGGAGAGGTGGGCTTTTGGGATGCTTTGCTTTTACTGGAAGATGGATGTATTTATTTTTTTCAAAAATGTCGGAGATTTTGCCCCATGAATAACCGTAAAAACTACTGGTGTGCATGTACCCTTATGAAAGAGTCCTACGTTGAGAGGTAAATATTAGAAGTGCAGGTAATGCATTCTGGTGCCTATCAATGAAAAATGAATGAAAATTTAATTGGGAGTTTTACTTCATATTTTAGAAATAAAAATGATGGGGGAAACATTTATGACGTCTTTTTAAACAAAATTTTCTAGCGCGACCTGCCTGCTTCACTTAAAGGGACTTTACGGAGTTTTGAATTTTTATGCTCACGATTGCCCCTTCAGGCCAAAAGCGTAACGGCAGCTTCAATCGTAGGCTCGTGCACGAGGCGCGCATGCTGTACGTGCACACTCCTTAACGAAAATAACAGCTGAGACAGTCCTGTGTGTGTGTGTGTGTGTGTGTGTGTGTGCGTGCGTGCGTGCATGGGTGGCCCGGAGGACAGAGGACGGGAGAATGCCTAGCTAATTAATTAAATAATGTGGTTCTGTACCTTTCTCTTCAGCACAGCCGACAAAGGTTTAAGATGGGTCAGTCCTCCTGCATGCTCAGATCATTCCCTTCCCTTGCTTGAAAAATTGTTCCAAAATGAAAGTTGAACCCACATATTTTTTATCTGTGAATTCAATGCCGTTCAGCGAGTCTCAAATAAAAATTTCGGCATCTTACTGTAAAAAAATATACCATTAATGTAAAAAAGAAACTCTAAATAAACTATGTCCACATCCAGAATCAAACCCAAGTCTTCTGCACAAAAGTCAGACATCTTACAAGGTGAGCTAAAGCACCAGTGACATCCTTTGTATCTGTAACTTTTATATCCTTGATGACAGCTGAAACAACGTCAATCCAAAGAACGGTTCGAAGAGAAAATGGCTATTTTGTTGCTGATTTGCAGGAAATATCTAGAAGAAAGTTCTGCAGAAAGTAGCTAAGGGTCCTCAGAAATGTAGCTAGGTTCATCACTAGGCGTTAGGAACAGCGACAAAGTGGCACTGCCTCTCTCTCTGCTGCTAAAGCTACGGATAGCAAATGCTACGGGCTATGCCTGAGCGTGAACGCGCATGAAGCAGCCTGCTCGACCCGAGCAGCTCTCTTTTTCTGTGATTTTACAGAAAAACAGGCAATCACAGTAAAAATGCCAGGGCTCATTCTACAGGACCAGGGCATTGCAGGAGAATGTATGAAGAAGACATTTATTATTTCTATACAGCCATCTTACTAGGTGAGCTAGGCGTTAGGAACAGCGACAAAGTGGCACTGCCTCTCTCTCTGCTGTCAAACTTCCATAATGTCCCTTTAAGTCACTGCTTATTAAGGTCCGTCCAAAATTACCGTGGCCCATCCAAAAATGAAAACCTGGCGCCGCGCATGTTTTAAACCTCTGCAAATTGTTGTTCTTCACTTTATCAAACTCAGAGATTGTAGCTAATGTCAAGATGTAAAATTATGAATTCAGTCGAGCTCTTCCCTCCCTCCCTCTCCTGTTTCTCCTTAAACCCGACATCGGCTGTCGGGTTTAAGGAGAAACAGGAGAGGGAGGGGAAGAAGGAGATGAGGCAAACAGAGTGAGTGCGACGTAGAGAAACCAGACTGGTGTGGAGGTGAGCAAAATGGCTGGAAAAGTGTGGGTGTTGAATCCCCCACATCCCCCACGGGTGCGACGCCCATGCTCTCACGTCGCACTCACACACTGACAATCGCACAAATCAATTTTTTGGGAGAGCACAAATGGGAAGCTGTCTCAGGAAAGAATCATTTCCTTCCCTTTAAATTTGCTGATGCTTCTCTCACCTCAGACCTTTGTAGTGATGCCTGTTGCTTCAAATGTTTCATCATAAAACGTTGCAGCGTTTTATCAGTCTGGCATGAATTTTGCAGAGTTGCAAACTTACAAGAATGCAAATTAAACAAAACTGTGTGCTTTTGGCAAAATATGTGAGAAAATAAGCATTCCCAAAGCTTTACAGTTATAGAAGGTTGAGGTTTACACGGCTGATCTTTTATTTCCTTACAAATACAAATGATGCATTAAAACAGCACCTGCAGTCTCTTGCAGCTGTGGTTTCTCTCAGAATGGTAACCATGGTGATCCTAATGAATCACTGGAAGCAAATTTCACATTTCCCTTTATGTTGATTCTCTAAGATACAGGGGCGTGTCCAGGGAGTGGCCTGGGGTAGCACATGCCACCCTTGGAATCTGATTGGCCACCCCAGGTACCACCACACTAATTTACTTTTAAATAGGCTTTTCATTTTCCACAAAAGGCTTGGGGGTAAAACAAAAAAGCATAACCATTGGTTCCACCCATGCACAAAGCTGTGCCTCACCTGGGCCACCCCATTTTAAAAGATCTGAACACGCCACTGCTAAGACACAAACAGTGAAACGTGGTCATAGCCTTATGGTGGTGTTTTGGGCTGTAGCTGGATGTCATCCTTCAGAAGTGTTCTATGATCAGGCTTATTCTAGTTTTTGCTCTGACATTTTCCAGTTAGTTTGACATGAAGGCTGATGTGTTGCCTGGCTGTGCAGGTATGATGACTGCACACAAAACAGGAGCTGAGTCTTCCTCCCCGCGCAGTTCTGACGAGTTAAAGGAGCTGGGAGGAGGAGGAGGAGGAGAGAGAAGAAGGGATGACAAGGAGAGTCAGAGCAAGGAGAGAGGGAGAGGAGGAGGAAGAGGCAGCACTTCCAGCTTCCCCTCCGACATTCCTGCCTCCTTCAGTTTCAGCGGAGCAGCAGCAGCGGGAGGAGCGCATCGGTCAGATCCGGTTCGCTTGGATTGATCTCGAAAGGGGAACGGATACAGGATCCCAGAGAGAAGACACGTGAGGAGAAGTCGTCTCCGAGAATCCGAGACTCCGTGAAGCCGTCTCCACCTGCCCGCGCGCTCTTGTCCTCTCTTTTCTCCCGGGATAAACGTGCGTAATTTTTTAGCTCCTTTACGCAAAGGTGACGCGGAGCCGGAGACGCTCGGATACGGTCCTGGAAACACGATGCTGATCGGTAAGTCCTGAATTCAGAAATAAAGAGGAATAACCCAAAAGAGCCAAACTCCCAGCGAACCCAGGTGTGGATCCCTCAGAACTGAAGCTGTTAAAACAAATAAAGTTTAACAGCAGGTCGGACCTGCAGGAGGAACGAGTCATTTAGGGTTTGGACCGATCGGGATTCGCGGCTCTGACCACATCAGCAAGTTTTATGAAGGTGGAAACAAAATCCTCAAACCAAAAGGGCGCACTTAAACCCATTTACTCCCTCTGATCCTCCAGGTTTACTCGGTCTAGAGCTGGAAATAAAAGTATTAACGCGAAACTCTCTTTTGAAGCAAAGTCCCACTTTATCTCATTTGGTTAAACATCTTTTGGACCAATTGTTTAATTATTTTATCTGCTGCATGAATTTGGATACATCATTTAATTATTAGAATTAATTCAGCTGAAATATTTGTAATTTTATGCTCCAAAATTCTTCCTAAGGCCTAAAAACCTTTCATGGATTTAAGTGTCTTAAAGCAAAATCACCAATAGAATCCTGAATGCTTTATTAGAATTTGTCATCTTCACTATAATTTAATATATTTTCTTAATAACTGACATTTATTATCAGATTTTTCTCTTATTTCGGTTTTTAAGCTGTGATAAAATTTCTGAGGTTAAACATTTTAAAAGCTCACGGCTGTGACGTGTTACAGGACTTTTCCACCTGATCTGCACATTTAACTGTGTGTTGTGTGTGAATACGTGAGAAATGAAGGTGTGCTTCTCTTTGTGTGGGCTGAGCTAATGGACCTGCTCTGCTGGGCTCCTGTGTTTCCACTGAAAGGCTGATTTATGTCTGCGCCTCAATCACAGCTTCTTTTCTCTAAAATACCACATATTGTGTTTTCCTGGACAAGTTAAGACTTTTGTTCCTTTCATAGTCTAAAGAATGGGGATATTTAAGTGAAACCAAAGGCTTAAATTTCCAGATTTGGAGCCCGTTTGCTGGTTTGGTTTAGTGACCTGCAGACCTCTGGATGGGTCTCGGTACCGTGCTCCAGTGTCTGATGCTCTTAAAATGGCCCCTGATGATCCAATGAGGCCTGCAAATGGATGACACATTAGCATTTTATGACATTAATTTCTCCTTCATTTTTGTAAAATCTATTTTGCAATTAAGTATTAAATCCTTGTCATGCAGCTGATTCAGACTGGTCTGGTTAGCTGATTAATTTGGCTCCATTCTTGAGTTCATATTTAAGCAAGATGGAGCACAATCTCATACAAGCTGCAGAACACAGCAACACAGAGGCTGTGGTTCCTGCTGTCTTTCAGAAGGATGAGAGGCCAGACTGCGATCCAGTGGACTAGCCCGTGGGATTCCTTGAGTCGGTTGGGTAGGGAGAGGAAAAAGTGCAGACGAAATTAAGGCCTAAAAGCTTCGTTCAATGTGCGCACCGCAGTCTGAACACATTTGACTGGCTCACAGCGTCAGCAAAGACAGGAACCATTGGAAAAGGCAGAAATGGTCCAAAGTTTGGAATCAAGAGTGAAACTGTGGACAGACTAGCTGTAGCTAGCGCGTACCTCGTTCACAATCAAGTGGGGTTCAGAAAAAAAAAATGGATAACTAAACTCTGCAAGTGGAAGAAAAATCCCCACCATCCCGTTTATGTGTGGATGTCTGCAGCTGCAGCGCTATGGAGCAGAACCGCAGCAGATACCTGAAGTCAGGCTGTTGCTGCTGAGAGTCAACGACTCAACACAGCAGGGCTACGGCAAGCCGTGGTAGCATGTAATTCACAAACACTTCAAGATTTGAATACAATTTAGACTGGATTATGTTGCCAACCTGTACATAATAAAATGTATACGCCTCCAGTACATTGTGACTAGTAGAAACTAAATGTTATGAGCATTTCCAGCAGCTTACTACTGAACATGTTAATGAAATATTTCAATTTTATTGATCACATGTGAATTGATTTAGAAATGTTTAGATATTAAACCCAATATTTTAATGAAATGTAAGTCAAATTTGGTTCCATGAAATATGTATTACATATAAATACTACAAGACACACACACACACACATACACACACACACACACACACACACATATACATATAAACACAAATATATGTATATATATATGTATATATATATATGTGTATATATATATATATATATATATATATATATATATATATATATATATATATATATATATATATATATATATATATATATATATATATATACATTTGATCCCAGAACATAAGATGCTGACACAAAATTATTTGAGAAAAATAAATAGAAGTACAATTAACTGAGTGCAAATAAAGTTTGATAATCAATTGTTAATAAATTCACTGACACAAAAATCTGCTTCAAGACATTTTAGGAACTCCTTCATCAGATGCAGAACAATGAAAATCTGGCTGTTTGGGTCATCAGGTCCAAGTCTGATTCCTGGTTGCTGCCTGAGTTTGTTTCCACACTTCCTCGTCAGGATCCATCCAGGCAGACAGCAGGTTCTGGGCCTGATTACAGGCCTTCAGGAGTGGGTGTCATTCTTCCTCTTCCTCTCCGTTGGATGTGAGGTTTAGCGGGGGTGTTGTTGGAGGCATTTGTGCTAAACCGGGTTCTGGACTTAATCAGGGGTAATTATGTGGGTCTAGGATTACAGCCTGTGACCCCTCCACAGGGGCTGGGCTGATGGCAACGTAGGGGAGATAAAAAACAAATAGGAACTTAAACATCCATGTGGGAATCCGTTTGTTTGAAGTGTCAGTGCAGGTGGAGGAGGAGATCATCTTCAACAGACGAGATCTACACGTGTTTCAGGCTGCATTTGTCTCATTAAACAGCTGATGAGTTTTTCCGAGCTGGCCGGATGTGTGTGTGTGCGTGTGTGTGTGTGTGTGTGTGTGTGTGCGTGCGTGCGTGCATGTGTGAGTGTGTGTGTGTGTGTGTGTGCGTGCGTGAGTGTGCGTGCGTGCGTGCGTGAGTGTGTGTGCGTGCGTGCGTGCGTGTGTGTGTGTGCGCGCGCGTGTGTGCGTGTGTGTGTGTGTGTGAGTGTGTGTGTGTGTGTGTGAGTGCGTGTGTGTACGTGTGTGTGCGTGCGTGTACGTGCGTGCGTGTATGTGTGTGCGTGTGTGTGCGTGCGTGCGTGTGTGTATGTGTGCGTGCGTGCATGTGTGCGTGTGTGTGGGTGTGTGTGTGTGTGCATGCGTGTGCGTGCGTGTGCGTGCGTGCATGTATGTGTGTGTGCGTGCGTGCGTGCGTGTGTGTGGGTGTGTGGGTGCGTGTGTGTGCGTGAGTGCGTGTGTGTGTGTGTGTGTCATCATGGGGCAATGGAACACAGTGATGGATGAATCTTGAGAGCCTTTGGTCTTTTCATTCATCTCTTGTGGACGAAGGTGGCAGCTTTCCAGCTCCTTCTGCCTTTCCTTTAACACACACACACACACACACACACACACACACACACACACACACACACACACACACACACACACACCTGCTGCCACCTGTCTGAATAATTTTACATTAACAATATTTCATTTGGCCTCATGGGGAAAGAAATAATTCAGTTTCACTTATATGCACTTTTGATGTCTACTTGTGGCCCTTTTTCACTTTAATGTGTCAGTCTGACATCGCTTCCAGGTAAAAGTAACGAATATGACTCCAGAAAACCTCCTCTCTGCTCTCCGCTCCGGATGTTGTTTTATTCCTCCCAGCTGGTTTACGTCCACCACACTTGAGTCCAACGTCTGATTCTATTCCTGGAAACTCTTACAGAGTTTTTATCATCAACATCTCACTTCTAGGGCCTGACTGAGGTGATTTGATGATGAAATATGGCGCGAGTCATAAATTCTAAATAACAGTTATTGCTTTATTTATACTGACGTTTGTGATTTTCTGCTGTAATGAGAATACAGTGGCATGAAAAACTATTTGCCCCCTTCCTGATTTCTTATTCTTTTGCATGTTTGTCTCACAAAATGTTCCTGATCATCAAACACATTTAACCGTTAGTCAAGTAAACACAAAGTGTAGTGTTGAAATAATGGTTTTTATTATTCAGGGAGAGAACAAAATCCAAACCTACATTGCCCTGTGTGATAAAGTTATATTATATATAATATTATTATTATTTTGTCAGGCTGTTACAGGCAAAAATGATTAAATCCTGTAGTTTTCTACTGAACAGGGTCAGTGGAAGGTTTACCAGTAATGTGACCTTTTCATGTCGATCTGCTTTGACCTTTTAAACCACCACCCTCCCTCTCACGCTACGCGTCTTTTACTCGGTAAACGTAGACAAATGTGTCTGGATGTTCTGATATTTGTGGCGTCTGCCTTTTTACGCCTGAGCACACTCGGCTGTATGTGTGGCCCCTCTCTGGCCCGGAGCGCCCCCGCGGGGAAAACGCCTGTGTCAGAATGACGGTTCAAGTCGTTTTAATGGAATGACAGCGTGGGTTTGATTGGCCCGCCTGCTGCACCGATGGCTTCTGGATGCTGAGAGCTGTAGGCATATGTGAGCCCCAGCAGGAGCTCTGACAACATGTGAAATGTCCCGTGCTGCTCTCTGCTCCAGAACCTCACCGCTTAGCCTTTCATTGCCAGGGTGCTAAGGCTAAAGACAACACACTGCCTCACAGTGAAATCTTCAGCAGATAGGGAAGCTCTCGGTTGAAGAAGACCACTGGCCCACTTGATGCTCTGACTTGGACTTTAAAAAGTCAGAAGAGGTGAAGGTCTGTAATTGGAAGAAACAAGAAAACACAAAGACCCAAGACAGAGAAAACATGCCTGGAACAGAAAGGTTAGAGACACAAAGTGCAAGCGACAAAATGGTGTTTCTCCTGTGGCTCTCGCCGTTCTCTTCATAACTCTGCCGGTATTCCACTGGTTTATCTGTTTAACTGGAAAAAGAGGGATTACTCTTTGCTTCAAATGGAGGTGTTTAAGTATTTTTGGGACTTTTCACGAAAGGTGGAGCGCCTTA